CTAAACCTTATATCATTTTGTTAAGATCATAAAGAATTATTTAATTTATTTAAGATGTGTTTAATCTATTTTTTAAGGATACACATTAAAAATGTATTAAATATATATTGTTATCATAAATTTATATTAAAATAATTAAAATTAATATTTATTTTATTAATTATTTAATTAAATTTACTTAACACTAAAATTAATATCAATTTTTATATTTTTTTGTATATATTTATTCTGAAAATTATATTTAATATATTTTTAATATGTGTCCAAATTCAAAAAATCTTTTTATTAATTATCTTAACAAAATAATAAGTCACTATTATTACACCTAAATCTTGCCAGTAAAATTAAATTAAAACACCAACAACTTATTCTCTGAGTGAAAAAAGTTTGGTTGGTACTTAAATTAAATATTGAGTTTAAATTTTATAAATAAAAAAATAATGTTAAAAGAGAAATTTTTTTACGTGATTCTACGTCATTTGAGTATAAATTAATTATTATTTAATGTGTCAGTGAGGTTAATGAAAATAAATAAATTAAAACTCAAATTAAATAAAACTTTTGCAAGGAAAAAGCTAAGCCCAACAGGCTTTATATCAAGCAAGGCAGCCTCCTCAGTACACATATTTTCCTATATTCCGTGTTTCCACTCTTTTGCTTTTCACCGTACATTTGCATGGCCTAAAGCTCCATCGGCTATTGGAAAGATGTCTCGCAGCTGTTCTCGGTGCGGGAACAATGGCCACTACTACTCGCGCACGTGCACGGAGGCTGCAGCTGCTGGAGGTGGAGGAGAGAACGGAATTATGCTGTTTGGTGTGCGAGTCACGACGGAGGGATCCTCCTTCAGGAAAAGTGTCAGTATGAATAATCTGGCGCAGTACGATCAGCGGCCTCAAGATTCCAGCGCCGATGCTGGTTACGCTTCTGACGATGTGGTTCACTCCTCCAATTCCGGAAGGAGCCGTGAGCGGAAGAGAGGTGGTTTATTTCAGATCTGATTGTGTTTGTTTAAATCAATTGTTTTTTTTTTTTTTTTTGGTTCAAAATTGAAAACAAAAAAATTGGATTGATAGGTGTGCCGTGGACGGAGGAGGAGCACAGACTCTTTCTGTTAGGATTGCAGAAAGTAGGTAAAGGAGACTGGAGAGGAATTTCGAGGAATTTTGTCAGGACGCGGACGCCGACGCAGGTGGCGAGTCATGCGCAGAAGTATTTTCTCCGGCAAAGGAACCAGAATCGGAGGCGTCGCAGATCTAGTCTATTCGACATCACCACCGATACGGTAAATTAATTACCTCCTTAATTAACTCTCTGTTTCTCTGATTTTTCTGCTAAATCTCTTTTTTTTTTTACCAGAATTTACAGTTCGCGAGTTTTTCCATTGAAGGAGAACAGAGCTACCGAGAAAATGTTATGCCACAGCCGATTCCATTACCAAGAAGTTTTCCGATGTCAACGCTTCCGGTAACTCTAAGTCCGGTGATCTTACCAGGCTCCGGGGAAAGCTCGATGGAGAAACTCGCACTAGGACCGGCCAATCAGGGAAAAACATCTCCCAACCTCACCCGTCCGTTACCTATTCCTCCAATTCCTCGGTCAGCAAAAATGGCGGATCTTAATTTGAACCTGAAACATCCCACGGAGGACTTGCCTTTATCACTGAAGCTATCTACACCATCGTCGGAGGGGAAGCAACAACCGTCACCATCGCCGTCGTCGTCAACGCACTCCTCTGGTTTCCGCGATAGCATAATCAGCGTTGCTTGAAGAATACGTATATAAATGTGATTGGATGTTAGATTTGCATTAATTAGGATTTAGGAAAGAAAAGGATTAGATAATTAGGTGATTGATTCCTTGTTTATTCAGGCTGATTAAGAGAGGATTAAGAAAGTACGTTGTCGTTTTCCGGTAATGGGAGTATACTTCTTGGCACCGGGACCGTATTGTCTATGTTATTGGGTCTGTCGGTCCTCTTGGGGAACTTTTAGGGAACAAATAAAATTTAGAAATTGAATGCCTTGTATTTATGTGGTGATTTCTATTTTTATGCTTTGCCTTTTTAAGAAATGATTTTTTTTGTTACATCTTACCGTAATGAGTTGTGAAAAAATAGATAGTCATTCTCTTTCTTTAGGTTTCTTTTCACTTGACTAAAAATTTAAAATTAAAATATATAAATTGAAATTTTAAGTTTTTAACCATTAAACTATTTT